CATTCAGGTTGAAGACCAAAACACAGGTGCAATTGAGAACATTATAGTTGAAGTAAAAAAAGAGCCAGACGCAGAGCCTGCTGAGGGGGAGGAAGAGGCCCAACCAGCTGCCACAGATGCACCCAACGGAGACCTCACGCCTGAGATGATCCTCAGCATGATGGACCGGTGATGGCGGCACCTCCTTTGGCTCCAGGACTACTCAGGGCTGTGTTTAAACGGCCTGCATCTTTTTGTCCCTTCTTTTCTTCTTTTGGCTTTGGGAAAAAACAACATTTTACACCATTTTACCAAACATACTGAGAACTAAAACTTCCAAGAATGATGTTAGGAAAATGTGATTTATCTAGGACTTGCTGTTTGGTGTTAGCAATCATGGAATGGTCTGAGTTCCTGAGGGTTTACTGTGATGTGCTGAGGACATTGTGGAAGCTGAACTCATTTTCTCAGATGGAAACCAAGACACATAAGGCCCTCTCTTTCAATATAAGCCACTCCAGGATGGCCACCGGGTTTCCCAGAGTTCTATGGTCTTCTTCCCAGGAGAGTTTTTAATTGTAAATGCAGACTTGGGAAGGTCTTAGACTTTTAAAATCTTTTTTGCTTTTGCTTTTCCCTGACTCCCTTTGCTTGGAGTCAGCTGCACACAGTAGTATGGCATGCTACGATCGGTTTCTGTCCCGAAAGCTTTGCCACTTTCTTGGCAAAGTTTCTGGTTTGGTCAAGCTTGTAAATAACTTTTTTTACATTTTAATCTTTTCCATTAATTAAGAAGTACAGTGTAAGAAAACCCAGCAGTTGAATTACTTGGAAATTAAGTTACCACAGACTTGTGTGCAAACGTTGACAAAGAATCAGATTACAATCATGTAGCAGGACAGCACCCAGACTGCTGCCTGCCAGTGACGGACACCCACGCGGAAGATCGTGATTTCCAGCCCAGGGAGCCAGCAGCTGAACCTTGTACAATGAACTTTCAGTTATGATTGCCCATCTACATTTTCTTTGCTCTGTTTGTAGCTGAATTTTGTGTTTTATAAAATCCTCTATCCACCAGGAAGTGATTATGAGTGGGTCACAGCAGCCATTATGAAGCTGGGCCAGAAAATTTTACTAGGTCAGTAATTTAAACTTTGGATCCTCAAAAAATAAAATAGAAGAAGAATGTGAAACAAACCAACTAAAAAGTGATTCTTGCACATGAACTGTCACATGTTTAAAATATGTTTTTTAGAGCGCCTCCGTCTTGCTGATTTCAAACACTTTTCTTCTGTGTATTGCTTTTAAGAGGGCCATCAGACTCTAGGTTGATGCATTTTGTACTTAGCTGTACTGTGTGATCTTTTTTCATTATTTTCAGATACCAACATGAGACCTGTAATAAAATATGTAATGGGTTGAAAGCTGGGGAAGAGAATCTACTGCTGTACAGCTAATAAATCATAACGGATAAACAAGTGCTCCAAACGATCCGACTCATGTGGTTCCTGCCTGGTGGGGGGCAGGGTCTTCCCAGAAGAGCATCACATTGTACCAGGTGGAGCTGTTCAGGCCTTCTGGCCCTTCAGAGACAAGCTGTGTTCCTGGGATGCCACTTCCTCGCTAACAGATGGGAAGAGGCGGTCTTGGCTGATGACAGGATGTTGAGTGCTTCCTGCTGCAAGTTTGACTCCCTGAAAGTAGTAGAGAGGTGAGTGGGTGGAGAGCGGCCAGCTCTGGCCACCACCTCAGGAGCAGTCACAGCCACAGCCACGTAGCCAAGGGAGGAGCCGGGGGACTGGAGAGGAACTTGTAGGTAGTCACCTCTGCCAAGAAATCAATCCTAGGGACTTTGGAGTCAGAGCAGCTGTTAGAGCTCAAGGGTGAGCTAATCCCCCACTGGGGCCAATGCCCCTTACCGAAAGTTTTTGAGTAAGCACCTAGTTTCTTAAAAATCAAGTTTTCTTTTAATGAGAAATTTGGGCAGAACAATGAGACATGTGCCTGTACCTACAACATAGTTTCCAAATTTCTGATTGCAACATTACTTTCAAAGGTTGGAGATGGATTTGTTTTGGTTGGAGAGGGTGCAAGAAGAGTGACAATGTGAAGGAATTAAGGCCAAAAGGCCTTTTTGCATAGCCCACAATGCATCCTGTGAGACTCCATTCAAACTAAAACCAGCAGAAGTCAGTTCTCACCCACAGTTGTCACTGTTGCTTTTTGTTACGTGCTGTTGAGTTCGTTCCAACTCATCGTGATCCTGTATAGGGTTTCCAAGAAGCAGCTGATGACTTTGAACTGCCACCGTGCAGTCCAATGCTTATCCTATAGTGTGTCACTAGGTGCTGTCAAGTTGATTTTTACTCATAGTGACCACATGTTTAAAATGTGTTGAATTGCCCCATAGGGTTTTCTAAGCTGTAATTTTTCCATTAACAGATTGCCAGGTCTTTCTTCAGCAGAGCCAGAGCTTAAACCATTGTACCACTAGGGCTCCTTCACCATGCGATAGAGCTTGTCTAACCTGTTTGCAGCTCCTTCAGTGCTCAATCAGTGATCTCCTTCCCACGCCTGGGCTGGGTTCACCGCCGACCACTGCTGCCCAGCTCAGCTAGCTCAGGAGCCTGTCATGCTGCTGCTCGGAAGGATCCGGTGTTGTTTTTCTTTTCATTTTGGTGAGAGTACCCACAGCCAAGGAAAGACCGTGTAACAATGTATATCTGTACAATGCCACAACGTTGATTATGTATTCTGCAAGTTCAGGGGGTTTTTGTTTTGAAAAATTTATTGTAAATATGTAACAAAACATTTGCCTTTTCAATAATTTTCACAGTAACATTATTCTCATCTTGTTACTGAACTATTATCATTATCCATACCCAACTTGTCCCTTACCCCTAAGGATCCTGTCTTAAAACCATCAAAGGTAAATAAATACACCAATCAGAGGTAAACCCTGACCCACCCTAGAGGCAGCACCCATCCCCATCCTGTGGTACTCAGATCTGGTGGGACTGAATCCTGCTGGTGAGCTTTTCCCATTTCCTGTACCCATGGCCTGCCAAGCTGTCCAGAACACAGACAAGCCGAAAGCCTCTTTCTCATAGAACATTGCCTAAAGGAGCTTGATCCATGTGTTCAATTAGGCTCTGATACCAGTTGTCAAGTTTGTTTTGTCACCATTATCCTGACCACTAGCAGTTCTAGAAGATAGCTGACCAGCCCCACGGGCCTTCCTGATTTGCTCCTCAGCAACCTTTATCTGTGCCATGCTCCCTCCCCACCCTGTCTCCAGTGCCAGAGCATTCCCTGGACTGGTCACACACAGCTAGGAGATTCCATTTGATAGCTCTCTCGCCCTTGTCACTAAACAGAAAAGTTACTGTTAGGTGGACTTTTTATAGTTCTGTTTGGGGGTTTGAAGATTGCCATGGTAATGTTGGTTAATGTGATTGTTTGCCAAGTGCCAGGCACTGCTGTGAACATATCTTTTCATAAGCAAGTCATCCTTATAACAACACTTGAAGGCAAATTATTAGCTCCTGTTTTCAGAGACGAACTAGAAGAAGCACAGAGGCTAAGGTGCTTGTTGAATGTCAAACAGCTAGAGTTTAGCTCAGGCAGAGTGGCTTCAGAATCTGTGTTTTCACCATTGTAAATGGGGTGATATCTACTGAGTTCTCACCCTACAAACAGTCTGAATTTTATGTGGTCCTAGAAGCAGTCTTAATCGTAATTCTTGCCTTTCAAACATGAAGGCAGCAGAACAGGGCTGCCTCTTGTTTGCTTTAGTCTCCACTGAGTCTTCACCTGCCAGCCCCCAGCTATCACATCATGTTCCTGTTGTATGAAAGGACACTTTGCTCAAGTTGCTACTATTTAGTTTCTACTTTGTCCCAACATTTGGAGAATCTAGCAAGTGGGAGACGAGATGTTCTCTCTCTTTTTGGGGGGGGGCGGCGGTGGGGAGTGGAGGCCAGCTGACTGGAGGACGCTTTGTGTTCCCACTGTCTCCAAGCCTCAGGTGGAAAAAGCTAGCTAGAGATAAAGAAAAAAAACAAGGGATCACTGCCTTGTACCTCACCTCTTGCCGACTCTCCAGCTTATACCTGCCTGTGTTCTAGAAGACTGCTCCTTATCTCCTAAGTAGAGTGTGATTCAACTGTAATGTAAGGAAAAACTTCAGTCCCTTCCTTGAGCCCTCCAGAATCCTGGTTCCTGGTCTTTTCTAGGGCAGCATGTGACTGGCAGTGTCTGAGTGGTGTAAATGGTTTAGTGGTTCAAATCTATCCAGAGGCACCTGGGATGAAAGTCCTAGAGAAGTGTTTCTAAAAGGTCACAGCCATTGAAAACGCCATGGAGTGCAGTTTTCTGAAACACGGGAGGCCACCCTGAGTCAGAACCAACTGGACAAAAATTCGTTTTAGACTGCTAACTGGCAGACCTCTCACTCCATGATCTCTGACCCTTCCTGCTCTGGAGACCTTAGTTTCTTTGGCAAAAACAGGCAGCTGTTTTTTGCTCCTGAATCACCCTTCTTGACCTCCTTTGGACCTTAGCACAAGGCACTCCTGAGGGCCCCTGGACACACAGCCTAGGACCGTAGCAGAGAGAAGCTTCTGGAGCCACTCGTAGATCCCTAAGGAGGCCACGAACCCCAGTACTCAGGCACTCCTCACTGAACTATCGCCCAGGCTGTCAGGCCCCTGGTTCACCTCCCCAACCTTGATTTAAAAGGGTTAGTTTCGGGAATTCACTGGCGGGCAGCGCCCCCTGGTGCTCACGGCCAGGATGGCGCTATTGGGTGATGGTGGGGAGCTAAGCAGAGCGAGAGGGGTCTTGGCCACACAAGTCCCCACCCCACGTTCCAGTACGAAGGGGCGGGCAGGCTGCTGGGGCTCTGCCCTCACCCCACACCCCGCTGCCCGGGCGGGGTGGAGCTGGGCCGGGGGCGGTCTGGCAGGAAGCAGTGCGCACCTTCCGCTGCTAGAGGAGCAGGTGGCTGCTCTGGGCTTCCTGTGTGCGCCTGTTTCCCGCCGGAGTTCGTCGGCTTTTCGGGCCACCCAGGTCAGGCCCTATGGCCCAGACCCCCGACGGCATATCCTGTGAGCTGAGAGGTAAGCGCTGGCCCTTCTTAAATATGTAGCCCCCAAAGCTGGGCTCACTAGCACCCTAGGACACTCGGCAAGTTTTCTTTGCGCCTCCTCTGGAGGGCTTGGCCCCTAGGTCCCCCTCCCTCCTTCCTTGCTGACTCACAGAGGAGCCTCCAGGCCCCAGCATGACACAGACCTGGCCACAGATGGGTCTTGAGGAAGGACTAAAATCACCCAGCAGGTTGCCCCTCCACAGGCCAGATCACCAGGTTTCTGTGGCCCAAAGAAGTGGAGCTGCTGCTGCAAGCCTGGCTTCCCGAGCAGGAGGGTGCTGAGAGAAGACACATCCTGGTATGGCAGAGGGCAGGGAGTCGGGAGGGCTGAGGCCCAGACAGAAAGAGCCTTATATGATCAGGCTGTCAAACCCTGTCTCCTCCTCACAGGCACTGCTACGATGGAGGGCTTACCTGCTGCACACCTGCCTTCCCCTAAGAGTGAGTCCTGGAACCTGGCCACCACTCCTCTCTAGGAGCTGCATCTACCATTATCCGTCCTGTGCTTCTGGGCTTTGCACTTCCAACAGCACTGGGTGCCAGCAGCTCTTAGTCCAGGGTGGGGCTCAGGGCTTGGGCCCAGCTGATCCACGTACTCCCTAGGTGGACTGCACATTCAGCTACCTGGAGGTCCAGGCCATGGCCCTGCAGGAGACACCCCCTCAGGTGAGGCAGCTAGGACACCACCTGGGCTTGCAGCTTGGAGTGTACCTGTTATCCCTACCGGGTCCCACATGTGGAGCCCAAGCCCAGCAGCCTTCCCTTCACAGGTCACCTTTGAGCTGGAGTCACTGCCTAAGTTGGTTCTGGAGTTTTCTGGGGTGGCTGCCCTGGAACAGCTGGCCCAGCACATCACTGCCGCCATCAAAAGGGTCTTCCCTCGCTCCGCCCTTGGGTGAGGCCTAGCAACTGCAAGGGACTGCCCAGTAGGAGGGCAGTAGGGGCTGCTATGGGTGAGCATGGTGAACTCTATCCCATTCCAGCAGCTAGAGGTCCTTTGCTCCTTCCTCCTCTATTCCTTCTCCCAGGAAGCTATTCCGGAGTCCTACACCCCCCTCAATGCTAGCTCAACTGGAGAAAAACAGCCCCACAGAGGTCACCACAGCTGGCAGACCCTGTGGTAAGGACCAAGGCCTATCCCAGCCTGCAGCTCCAGATCCCTGGAATTGGGGCAAGTTCTCATGCTGAACAGAGCCCCTGGGGTCACAAACACCACCCAGCCTGGGTCTGCTTTTCCTCTGTTTCTCTTTACGTCTCTCTCCTCCCTGTCATATTCCTGGCACATTCCCAGGTGGCTTCTTGGAGACCTACGAGGCTCTGTGTGACTACAATGGCTTCCCCTTCCGAGAGGAGATTGAGTGGGTGAGGGCAGGACCCTTTCTGGGGGCTGTGGATACATCTGACCTCACCCCCAGTGAGCTGAACACCTCTCCACCCTTTGTGGTCTCAAGCCTGTATAGACAATTTCTCCCTGTCCAGGATGTGGACACTGTCTACCATCGTCAGAACTGCCGCCATTTCAGCCTGGGAGACTTTAGCCACCTCTGCAGTCGGTGTGTGGCCTGCTAGGAATAAGGGGAGAAAGATTCCAGAACCCGCATTCCTAGGCCTCAGCCTCCCCATGGATAGGGGTCCTAGGCCTAGGATCTGGACAGATGACCCTGAACTCTGCCCACTCTCCCTTGATCCAGGGACCTGGCCTTGAGTGTGGCTGCCCTGTCCTACAACCTGTGGTTCCGGTGCCTCTCCTGTGTTGACATGAAGCTGGTGAGGGCACAGGGGCAGGGTGGAGTTGGCGGTCCTGGGCCAAGGTGCAGCGAGCTGAACCTCCTCCTGGTTCTCAGAGCCTTGAGGTCTCGGAGCAGATTCTGCACATGATGAGTCAGTCATCGCACCTGGAAGAGCTGGTGCTGGAGACCTGTGGCCTGAGAGGGTGAGAGGGGATGAAAGGAAGAGCTGGGAATTGGGGCACTGGGAGCCTGGGGAGGAGTTTGGTATCCAGGGTGAGGGTCTCACACCTAGGGTTTGGTCGCCAGAGACTTTGTCCGACGGTTGGCCCAGGCGCTGGCAGGAAACTTGAGCTCTGGGCTGCAGGAACTCAGTCTGGCAGGGAATCTGCTGGATGATCGAGGTATGACGGAGCTTGGGGATCCCAGGGCTGGTGGCTGGAACAGGTGAGACTCACATGGCTCTCCCATCTTCTAGGTGTGGCTGCACTTAGCAGACACCTAGAACAGCGTTCAAAAGCCCTGAGAAAGCTCAACCTAGCACAGACAGGGTTGACGCCTCGAGGTAGGCCAGGCAAAGGAAGGGATGGGGTAGGTGGAAGATAGGCCTGATTGCTGAGCCCCTCACCCACCCACCAGGGATGAGGGCCCTTGGTCGGGCACTGGCCACCAATGTGGCCTTTGACTGTACTCTGACCCACCTGGACCTGTCTGCAAACCCAGGAGCACTGGGGCCTTCAGAAGACAATGGGGTAAGTGGCTGTCTTCCTGAGCAGAGATCGGGCACATGAAGCTCCTGGCAAGGCTGCCCTCACTCAGCTTTCCCAAACTCACTCTCCCACCAGGGCCTCTATAGTTTCCTGAGCCGTCCTAACGTTCTGTCATTCCTGAATCTAGCAGCCACTGATACAGCCCTGGACACTGTGAGAGGGCACTTGGTGGGGCGACGGGCCGGGGGCGGGGTGTGTGTGGGTGTGTGTGTGACCCGGACACAAACAATCAATGTTGGGATGAGGTACACTGGAGGGTGGAACAAGGCTCATTCCTCTGGCGGCTTCACCCTCTGCCTGCAGCTCTTTGCGGCGCTGTCCCTCGGTTGCTGCGCCAGCCTCACCCACCTTGATGCTTCAAAGGCCGTCTTCTCCCGCACGTAAGGGGACGCATTGGGGTGGGGGGATGCCAGGAACTACCTTCCTGCATGCAGAAGCCCACTTCTCCTGCTCCCCTACCCAGGAAGTCCAGAACTGCACCAGCTGCAGTGCAGCTCTTCCTCAGTCGTGCAGGGGCACTGCGGCACCTGGGCCTGGCAGGCTGTAAGTTGTCACCTAATGCTGTCAGGTCAGTGTTGTTACCTATAACCTCCCCTCTGCACCCACCCCCAGGAGTAAGTGGCCACCACCCACACCAGGCCACCCTCCAGTGCCTCACTCTGCTCATGCCCCACCTTCTTGGTGCTCACTGGGCCCCTGGGGCTCCCTGTGCAGGCCATGTGTTGGCCCAGCTCTCCATCTGTGACATTTCATCTCAGGGCCCTGTTAGAAGGCCTCGCCTTCAACACGCACATAGGTGATCTGCACCTGGACCTCAGCGCATGTGAGGTAGGGCTTGCAGTGGGCCCATACCTTCAGAGTGATCTGGAAAGTGGTGGAGACTGCCCACCATGCCCCACCCTTGGTCTGAGTGACCTGAGTTCCCCTACCTCCCACCTTCAGCTTCGCTCTGCGGGTGCTCAAGTGATCCAAGACTTGGTGTGTGATGCAGGTGCCTTGAGTTCCCTGGATCTCGGGGATAATGGTAAGGCCACCGGGAAACCCATTCATTCTCCCATCACCCACCCAGTTTCCAGCACCCCACCCTACTTTTGTAACCCAGCCTTATTAGTGACCCAAGCCACCCTCAGGTTTCGGTTCAGACATGGTGACTCTGGTGCTAGCCATTGGAAGGAGCCGGTCCCTGCGACATGTGGCGCTTGGAAGAAACTTCAACGTCCGCTGCAAGTGAGCTCCCACCCCACTCCTGGTCTCCCAGGCAGCACCCCACCACCCAGTTCCCCCAAACAGCAGCCCCTGCCCACAGGGAGACCCTGGACGACGTCCTGCACCGGATTGTCCAGCTCATGCAGGATGACGACTGTGTGAGTTCACGGCACCTTGCAGGGTCCTCAGGCAATGGACCCCTGTGGCCCTTTGACTCCTCCCCAGGCCCTGTGACCTACCCTCTCTACTGACTCCTGATACTACCCATCAATGGCCTTTCTCTGAATCCCAGCCCCTGCAGTCTCTGTCTGTGGCTGAGTCGCGGCTGAAGCTGGGGGCCAACGTTCTGCTCCGGGCCTTAGGCACCAACCCTAACCTGACTGCACTGGACATCAGCGGCAATGCCATGGGTGACGCCGGCGCCAAGATGCTAGCCAAGGCGCTGCGGGTCAACACCCAGCTCCGGTGGGCAGGGCCAGAATGGAGGGTTGGACCAATGGGAGAGAAGGGCGTGGCACGGAAGGTGTGGTCAAATGGAGAGAAGCCTAAGGATGGGTGATGGGCGGGGCAGAATGGGGCGGAGCAAATGGAGCGGGCTGGTCAGCAAGGCAAACCAATAAGGCTAGCGGTTGGGCGGGGCCTTGCGGAGCTCCGCGCCCGACTGAAGCCGGGCTGGAACCAGGTCTGTGGTCTGGGACCGGAACCACACGTCTGCGCTGGGCCTGCTGGACGTGGCGCAGGCCCTGGAGCAGAACCGCAGCCTGAAGGCCATGCCTCTGCCACTACATGACGTGGCCCAGGCACAGCGCAGCCGCCCAGAACTGACAGCACGTGCAGTGCATCAGGTGGGAATTCCCGCCCCTCCCCTTCTCTGCGCCATGGCCCGCCCCCTGCACGTCTCACGGTTCCTTGCCCCCCAGATCCAAGCCTGTCTCCTGAGGAATAACCGCGCAGAGCCCGTTTCTTCTAACCGTGCCTCGCGTCTGCAGCCACTGGGTCTGGTTTCAAACCCCTCGGAGCAGGTCAGTCAGTGTCTCCTCCTCCAACTTCCAGTACCCTCAGTTGTCGTTGTTATGTGCCGTGGCTGTAAATCTTTATGGGAGCAGAAAGCCTCATCTTTCTCCCGAGGAACAGCTGGTAATTTCGAACAGCTGACCGTGAGATTAGCAACCCGATTCGTAACCACGGAGGAGAATAACTGTGGCACCTGGGAGCCTCTATGAACCTGAGAGTGCCTTTCCTGGGGCCAGGATGTCTGGGGCCTGTTGTCCCAAACAAGGCACTCTTCTTGGTTTGGAGCCGGATCAGTGGTTCCTCAAATAGCTCCCTACACAACACTTCTTGCTTTAAGCATTTAAACAGGCTTTTTTGTTAAAGACAAGCAAACTCCCCCCCCCCAAAAAAAAATCCAACAAAAGTTAAACCTATTGCCATTAAATTGATTCCGACTAACAGCGACCCTATAGGATAGACTAGAGCTGCCCCAGAGAGTTTCCAAGTCTTGATAAAAGTAAGCTGCCACTTACTTTTCTCACGAAGTGACTGGCAGGTTAGAACTGTGGACCTTTACGTTAACCAGCTGAGCCCTTAATCACTGTGCCACCTGGGTTCCTTGTTAAAGACAAGGATATTAACAAATTCTTGCTCAACTTTCCAGTCCGGCTGCAGCCTTATTCACAGATTTCCCTTCCTCTCTCCACTGACTTTCTATGTAGCCAAACAATCACATTTTGTCTTGTCTCTCTCATTACCTTTGTGAGCTACTCCCACCTTTCAATTCCCAAATCTTAAATCTCTTCTAAGCTCCAGAGTCCTGCAGGAGCCTCACGTTCTACATGCCTCCCACCAACTCTACTGTCCAGTAGGCACAAGGGACAGGGGCATGGACATCCTTCCAGATCCCTCCTGATCACACTGGAACTCTCACAAACCTCCCTGTCCTACCTCCTGAGCAGTTCTTACCCTCAGCCATCCTGCTCCGCTTCTCCTGGTCCTTCCCTCTGAGATTCTCACTCACACACTTCTGCACCTCAGTCTATCTTTTATGTGGTAGGTAGACAGATAGCTTCTAAACATAGACAGGGCTAACAGCTCTTTTCCTTCCCATTCTAGACACCTCCATTCCCTTGGGAAGTTCATATTTAAAAACCCCAAACCAAACCCACCGCCACTGAGTTGACTGCAACTCATAGTGACCCTGTAAAGTGTTTCCAAGGCTGTAAATTTTTACAGGAGCAGAAAGCCTCATCTTTCTCCTGTGAAGCAACTGGTGGATTTCAGTTGCCAATCTTGGGGTTAATGGGCCAGTGCTTATCCTACAGCATCACCAGAACTCCTGAGGGAAGTGTATATAAAGTCCCAAAAAGGAACCAAAGGAGGGAACACTGCTCTCCCTCCTGGAGCTGGTTGTGTTCCTAAGTGGTTGGCATGGTGGTGTCAGCTTCAGGACCTGATTCACACCTTGCTCAAGACCTCAGGGGAGGTGGGGGAGAGAGAAGCCACAATCTGGGAGACTAGAAGACTCAGCTGGGACTGATGCCTGATGCCCGCCCCCTAGGAAGTGAACAAACTATGTAAGTCGATGCAGGAAGTGGTGGAACTGCTGGGCTGTGAGTCTGGACCCCAGGGTGAAGCTGCTGTGCGCCAGGCTGAGGATGCCATCTGCAATGCCAACTTCTCTCTCAGTGTGAGCTTCCCCCCACGCCGACCCAGGAGAGCCCTCCCTCTCTTGGTCAGGCTTCAGTCTGTGCCTCTTTTTTCTCTTTGAACCCCTCTAGGTTCTCCCCATTCTGTATGAGGCTGGGAGTTCACCAAGTCATCACTGGCAGCTGCAACAAAAGCTGGAGGTCCTGCTGGGACAGGTGGGCGAGGTTTGCCGCCAGGACATCCAGGTGAGCCTGCGTTTCATCATGAAGGCTTGATTGTCATGTTCACAGAGCCAGTGTTCTGTCAGGTCAGAGCAAAGTCAAGTGACCTGGTCCTTAGCTATATCCTCTCCATATCTGACCTTTGCCTAGGACTTTACTCAGGCCACACTGGACACAATGAGGAACCTCTACCCTCAGATGCTGCAGGAACCTGGCTGGAGGGAACAGCTCGAAGGGCTTCTGGCAGGTTCAAGAGGCCTCCCGGAGCTGCTCCCAGAGCAGCTACTGCAAGATGCCTTCACTAGGCTCCGGTAGGCTGCATGGGACTGGGTTGGGTACTGCTGGGTCAGGGTCAGCACACTAACCTGTGAACTCTCCTGTCCTCAGAGACATTCAGCTGTCAGTCACAGGGACCTTGTCAGAGAGCATTGTAACTCAAGCTGTGGTGGGTCTGAGGGCAGCCCAAGATCGACTGGTGAGAAGGAGATGTGTGTGTATAGTGCATACACATCCAGACAGTCCAGGGATACCTCAGGGGTCCCATAGCACTGGTGGGCACTTGGCTGAGGCTCTGAGGTGCTTGGTATTACAGGTAGAGAGTCTGGCACAGCAGGCAACAGTGGCAGTGCCCTCCACCTTATCAGCACTGCATCAGGGCCAGCGCAGCCCCCTTGGATCTGGGGAGCTGGAAGGCCTTTTCTCCCCTGAAGAGGAGGAGGAGGAGGAAGAGGAGAGGGTAGGTGATCCCAGTGTTCCCCATCTTGTTCTGGGGCTGGAAGGTGGGGAACTAGTTCTTGGGTTGTGCTCCTCTACCTCCAGGCTAATTCTGTGCTCTCCTCAGCAGGATGTAAGTCCTCCTCCATGGAAATGGCCTGAACCAAGTCATTGTCTTCACCTGGTCCTCTCCACTCTCAGTAAGTCAGGACCTGGAGGGAAGGCTGGCCTTACTTGAGCGGGGCTTAAGCTCCTTTAGTGCTGGGGACCTGGGCCCACTCTCAGTCTTCCTGTGCTCTCCCTACCCATGACTGGGCCAGGTCAGGGCCCCCATGAACCTGCAGGTGGGCGTCTCCTGTAGCCAGCAGAGAGCTGGACCTGAGCAGACCAGTGCCAGGACACTGCCTCCGCCAGTCGTCGCCCTGCCTCCCCACCCCCTTCCTTTGAGCACACTTGCAGGAGGCACAGAACCGCGCGTGCTCGGGGCCGCGCTCAGCACCGCGGACAGCGGCGGGGGGAGGGGCGGGGGGCGGGCGGTGCAGCCGGGCCCCTCCCCGCGCCCTGGGCGGGTCCCCCGCCACCTTACCGCCGCCACTTCAGCTTCTTCCCGGCCTCAGAGCTCTCTCTTCAGGTACTGCTGAGGAAGCGGAGCCGGAGCTCGAGCTGGCGGCTCCAGGGGAAGATGCGGAGCCGCAGGCTGGGCCATCTGCGCGCGGCTCTCCGAGCCCGGCCGCCCCGGGTCCCCCTGCCGGCCCGCTGCCTCGCATGGACCTGCCACCCGCCGGGCAGCCCCTGCGCCATCCGACCCGGGCCCGGCCGCGTCCCCGCCGCCAGCACCACCATCGTCCGCCACCGGGGGGCCCCCAGGTGAGCGTCCTCCCCAGACTCTGGAGCTGATGGAATTGGGGGTCGTGGGTGGTCCGTTCGCTCCTCATGGATGATGACGGGCAGGGAGGTGGGGGCCCAAGGCCACTTGGTCGTGAGGAGGTGGCTTTGCCCTGGATTCTTTGTCGGGGCCGTGGGTGTGCGGGTTTCGTTCGGGGTGCGCCCGGATAGGACTCCGCCTTGGGTTGGCAACGGCGGATGTGTGAGAGAGGATGTCCATCTTGCCCCGGCTCCCCAAGGGTTACTGGAAGATGTTGGGCCCTCGGGGACCACTGGGCTACAGAGCCAATCCTGAGTCTGCTGCACGTTCAGCGGGTGTTTGTGTGGGGTGATGTGGGGCCTGGGTCCCTGCAGGGGCAGCGGACACTGAGCGGCAGGGGGGAGGAACCAGCCTGAGGCCCCCCTAGAGGGTCTGACGCAGCAGCCGGCGCCGCCAAGGCGACAGCAGGCCAGGTGGGGTGGGGGTGGGGGGGCACTGCAGGGAACAGTTTGAAGTAGAGGGGGTGGTATAAGTGGGACCGTGTGACCCAAGGGGGCGCGTGGGTGCCAACCTGCTGGTGACTGGGGTGGTTCAGGGTTTGTGACAAGAACGGGTGTGGGCTGGGAGTGTGCCCAGGACAGCAATGGGTGAGGGGGTGTGAAATTCAGCATTTCTGCCTACCAGTGGGAGGGCAGTCAGCTGCCCCCTAGGGTAACCCTAGTTTCTGGTCCTCCAGTTGCCTAAACCAGGGCTGCACTTTTTCCTTATCTTTGCCCTCATGGTGTCCCCCAGGTACCTCCAGCCCTGCCGCAGGAAGGGAATGGGCTCAGTGCCCGAGTGGACGAGGGCGTGGAGGAATTCTTCTCCAAAAGGCTGATCCATCAGGATCGCCTGTGAGTGAGGGACAGTTGCCAAGGGTGGGAGAGGGTGGGAGGTCCTGTGGGCCGTCCCACTCACTTCAGAGTGTCCCCACAGCTGGGCCCCTGAGGAGGACCTGACCACTGAAGGAGGTACCACCCCTGTCCCCCGCACACTGCGAAAGAAGCTGGGAACCCTTTTTGCCTTCAAGAAGCCTCGTTCAGCACGAGGGCCACGGCCTGACCTAGAGACCAGCCCTGGGGCAGTTCCCCGAAGCCGGAAAGCCACCTTTGGGGACCTGCTGCGGCCACCAACCCGCCCAGGCCATGGTGAGGAGCCTAGTGGGGCCGAGGGGGGCACCAGCAGCCCTGACACTGCTCGCAGGAGCCGGCCACGCTACACACGGGACAGCAAGGCCTACTCGATGATACTGTTGCCAACCGAGGAGGAGGCAGCGCTGGGTGTCAGACCTGACAAGGTGAGGCCTAGTGACAGGAGGGGAGGGCTCTTATGGAACTAAGAGTACTGGGCCTCCTTCCTACTCAGGAATCTCTGTCCTCAGCGGCGGCCCCTGGAACGGGGAGACACAGAACTGGCCCCATCCTTTGAACAGAGGGTACAAGTGATGCTGCAGAGAATTGGCGTGAGCCGAGGCAGTGGGGGTGTTGAAGACAAGAGGAAGCAAGTGAGTTGGGAGAGCACAACTGTGAAGGGCAGGGGACATGACTTGTGGCAGACTGTGGATGATGTGACACACAGACAGGTCTAATTGTCGGTTCTACCCCTTGCCCCTCAATATAGCAGTCGAGAGTCAACATTTCTCCCCTCTTGGTCTCTGCCCTGGCCCCTGATATTTCCCCCTTAGATCTAGAATGGTCCTTTCTTTGCAGATCAAAACAAATCTGACCTTGTCACCTACAATTGAAACATCCAGTTCTCTAAGGCTTTTTCTTACAAGATTTTCAGATTCCTAACCCTTCAAGACCCCATGGTGTCTGGACCCTGGTCACCTCTTTGACCTCACTGCTGTTAACCCTGGGGTATACTTCTGAGTCCCTACATGGTCCTTGCTCTGGGGCTGCTCCCTGCCCTCTTTCTAGCCTCTCACCACCCACATACACACTGGTTCCCTCTCATGCATCCCTGTCATCTCTGGACCTTCCCTGACTCCCTTCCATGGTCACCCAGCAAATGCAGCTCTCTAATCACAGTGCCTAGTAAGAACCACAGCTGTGGATACTATTCCATTTAATGAAAGCTTTTCAGGAAAACAAGAAACACCTAGGAAGGGAAGCTCAGACTGAATTTAGAAACATTAGTGTGGAAAGCGCATCACAGAATTAAGAGCCCTATTACGTGTGTGTCTAGGAATATGGATGTTTCTTGGTCAACTGTCCATCATTCCAGACTTTGAGCTCTTAAGAATACTGGTGCTGGAGTTGCCATGTTCTTGCCCAACCCATCATGGACATTCTGTGGCTGGGTTATAAACAAAATAAGGACAAGAATAAAAGGATAGGGTTAGGGTAATGGTGGGGTGGGGTGGAGTGGGGCAGGGCTGGAGTTTGACTGCCACGTTTCCTATAGAGCAAAGATGGAGAGATCAAGAAGGCTGGCTCAGATGGTAAGTGGGACCCTGGGGTAGGGCAATACATTTGGGCTAGGATGTGTCCCTAGATACAGTCCTCAAGGCACTTGCTTTTCTGGCGGGGGATGGAGAGGGAGTCGGGCTTTCCTTCCACCGCTAAGGTTGGATGCCTGAGCCCCCAGACCCGTCTTGCAGGTGACATAATGGACAGCTCCACAGAGACCCCTCCCATCTCAATCAAGTCAAGGACCCACTCTGTGTCTGCCGGTGAGTGTGGTCAGTGTGTGCTGTGGGGGAGATGGTTAGCCACTGGGTAGGCCTACCTTGAATACCCGGCCCCTGGCCTGAGGTAACACGTCTCTCCTCTCAGACCCCTCATGTAGACCTGGCCCAGGGGGCCAGGGTCCTGAACCCGCAACCTGGAAGACTCTAGGACAGCAGCTGAATGCAGAGCTGAGGGGTCGTGGTTGGGGCCAACAAGATGGCCCAGGCCCCCCTTCCCCATGTCCCAGCCCAAGCCCCCGAAGAGCCAGCCCCTCCCCGGACAGCCTGGGTGTCCCAGAGGATCCTTGCTTGGGACCCAGGAATGAAGGTAGGCTGGTATGCTCCCACCCCAGCCCAGGCCTGGGCACTGGAGGAGTCTCTGATGTAACTCAACTTCTCGGGGGACCCTGGAGGTGGGAGACAAGGGCCAGAGAGAGGGTAGTACCTGTTGGGGCCATACCCTAACACCCTGGCCTTCCCCAGATGGCCAGCTGAGGCCACGGCCTCTCTCAGCGGGGCGACGAGCAGTGTCTGTGCATGAGGAGCAGCTCCAGGCCCCTGCTGGTGAGGACAGAAACTTCCACGTGTGCTTGAGTCTGGGGTGGGGGTGGGGGTGGGGGCTGAGAAATCAGAAGGCCAGGTGCAAGGGTCTGACAGAAGGCCCTTCCTACTGGTCCTGATCCCACCTCCTGCAGAGCAGGAGCCTCAGAGGACAATGGGGTGGAGGGGAGGTCCCTAAAAGCAACTGTGCTTGCGTGTACATGCACACATGCGTGTACATGCACACATGAGAAGAGCGGATTTGACAGATATGCCTTTAGGACCCACCCCAAGACTCTCTGTGCTCCTAGAGCGGCCCCTACGGCTGCAGCGCTCCCCTGTCCTCAAGCGCAGGCCAAAGCTCGAGGTGCCCCTGTCACCAAGCCTAGGTAAGTGGGGAGGGGGGGAAGGAAGCCAGTTGCAGGGTGGGAGCTGCTTGGCAGATCTACTCAGCTGAGCTCTAACTTGGCCTCTTTCTCCTTCTGCCTTTGCAGGACCTGGACCTCAGCCTCTGTCCCAACACCCCATAGATCCTTCCAAACCTGAGCAGAACCTGTCCTCCCCAGCCACAGACCAAAGAGGCGGCGGTCCCAACCCCTGACCCTTTCCCTCCTGCCGCATGAGATTATTTTATTAAAAAACTCACACAATGCTGAGTGCATAGCACGGTTTATCCACCCGCAGGAACAACCCTGTGTGCACATACACCCCCACGTGCTCACAGACTTCACACCTGTGTTAGTTCAGACTCTGGTGATGGCTCGGTCAGAAAGTGCAAGGCCCAGGCCACAAGCTCAGGAGGGAGCCTGGGGAGAGAACCAACGTTTCAGATCACTGTAGACGCAAGCTGGTGGCCAACAAAATGGGGCTGCCCCAGGCACTCACCTGGCAGCTTGGACCTGGGCACAGAGGGAAGTGCAGGGTGGCGAGTACTCATACTGGAAGGCAGAACCATCACGATGCCTCTTTGGGGAATCCTAAAGGGGTATGGTTCTGGGGAAGGGACCAACAAGGCCCCTAATCCCATCCAATGATACCCTAGCCCTCCTTCCAGATCTACCCAGGGACCACCCCATTCCACTCGCCACTTGTACAGACTATGCTCACCCACGTGGAACTGGGAGCCAAGGCTTCCTTGGTAGCGCTGGTCCTTGAAGAGGGTGTCTGATTCTGTGGGGGCAATCCTAGTCCCTTGAACTCCAGACTAGGTTTCTGAGCCCTGGTCACATGGGCTTGGTATGCATGGGGGACATGGTCAAGGGACAAAAGACTAGATGTACAGCTCAGGAATGTGGAGTTGGATGCACTGCTGGGGTGTAGAGAACATGAGGGGCCGGGGGTTGAGTCAATAACTGGTTGGGACTGGGAGCTGTCCCTCTGCACCAGGTCTGCAGTCACCAAGGACAGGGCAGGCAGAAGGTTGATACTGGCACTGCTTTCCTCTGACTGCGTGTGACCAGGGAGCTCCGGAGGAGTGCCTGAGAAGAAGGGAGTTCACTGTGTTGTGTGTGGTACATGCCTCCCAGCTCAGAATCCCAGTGGCCTGTGAGCATCCCCCATTCTTTCAAAGCATCTCCCGCAGTGCAGCCCTGAAACCCTGAGTGACAGCAGTGAGTGCTTGTAGCCAGAGCACCTCCTAACCTGAGGAAGGAGAGGAAGTCAGGGTCAGAGACAGATCCTGAAGAGCTGAATCTGGTGGGGGCAGCTCACGGCCTGAGGATTCAGAGGCAACTTATCAACACTGTGGGCCCTGAAACCCAGGTACTGCCCCTCAATCACTCCAGTTCCCCTTAACCCTGTGTTCTCTGACCTGGGCCCAGAGAGCTCAAGATCTGCTGGTCATTCTCAGAAATATGCAGCCACAGGCTGGGTACAGTGTACACAGTGTCTCCCTATGAAACATGAACTTCAATCCGGTCCTTGCCAAACTCCTCACTCAGACATGCAAGTCCCAGAGGAAGACCCACACTGACCATGTTCTTGCGTCTTGAGGCAGCCCAGCGGGTGATGGGAGGTGCTGTAAGAGGGCCAGCCATCAGCAGACAGCTCTCAGCCAGGTGCACTAGCGCCTCCCGATGCTCCTGGTCTTCCGGCACCTCACTCAGAAGCTGGGACAGTGTCAGGCCTGGGGGCAGGGGGCCAGGGGAGGAGCCAAAGCTCACAGAGAAAGAGTGGGAGAGATGAAGAGGGCTTATTGATGAGGTAGTGGCTGGAGAGGTCACTCCATGGGGAGATAGGGTCACTGGCCAACCCATTGGAGTGCCTGGGCTAGGAGAGGTGGGCTCTGACAGGTACTCCCTATAGGAACCAAAGCAAACAGACCTGAGGAGCAGTACAAGGGTTTGTCCACTCAGCTGTGATATCCCCTGACTGACCCGCACTTAACCCAAAGCCCAACCCTACACTCACTCAAGGCAGTCAGAGAGCTTTTTCTTTACATCCGGGTCCTGGTTGCTGGGGAAAATGAGGAAGGTGGTAGGAAGTCAATGGTACAGGGGGCTCAAGTCCAAAACACAACCAAAGGCCCATGGCACCGCTGACCAGGCCTTGAGGGGCAGAACTGGTGGAGGGTGAGGACTTCACTTACCATCCAGCCACCCGCACGCGGGGCTGCTCCATGGGTAGCAGACTGAAGCGATCCACCTGTAGGTAGAACTCGGTGGGCTGGAGTGATGAGTTTAGAAATGACTCTCAGGTGTTGTCAGTAAAAGGCAGACCCAGCCAGAAACTGGCCCCAGCCAACCTCATCACTCACCGCGCCGTCCTCGGCCACCTGGACACGGACCCCACAGTCTTGCAGCAGCAGCAGCCGGCCCTCAGTCCCGCGGAAACCAAATTCCTTCTCCCTATAGCGAATGCAACCCTCACCGTCTAGCCCCGCTCAACACAAGCCCCGCGTCCTCCCGCTGGCTCTGCGGTGCTTCTCTCACCAGTCGGAGGTGTTCAGGGCATTTCCTGTCAAACGGCATCGGATGCTATGGGTTCCGTCGGACACAAGCAGCGCAGCCCCGACAAAAGACACGCCAGGGGTGAGAGGAGGACTGGGGGCCTGGGCCTCTTGCAGTACCTGGCGGCGGCGTGGACCGGCGTCAATCTTACTGCACAGGCCCCTGTCCGGACACCCGGATTTGGGCGTGGGGGAAAGGCTCACCTCGAGCAGTTGACCCGCCCGCGGACCAGAGAATGTCTCAGACCCCAGGACCAGCTCTCGAATCCAGGGCCGCAGGACCAAACTCCTCGAGCCCGCCATAACCGCAGCAGCTGCTAGCCTGACACCCCGCCAGGATTTCCCGCGGACGTCGCGGTTCCGCCCCCGTCGGAAAAGGAAGCGCGTTGCAACTGGGCGGGCCTGAACGGAGGGCCCGCCCATATGAGTCCTTTCGCATGCGCACAAACAAATTCTGGTCGGGGTCTTCTCAATTTGTTTGGGTGATTGGATTTTAGCCCAAATTTTCCTTCTGGATTATTTCTCCTAGTAGCGCCCCGACGTTTGGGCCGCTCGTCAAGACTCCGGTGGCACTAGCCAATAAGTGATCAAGGGCTGGTTAGAAGCCGCGATCAAGAATGGTCAAAGTGAATTGCATTGAATATTAGGATTCAGTTTTCAAAGGAAATACAGCATTCGACAACTAGCACTTCCTTCACACTCCCCGTAGATTCCGGGGACACGCGAACGTAGCGTAACTAGAGATCAAAAGACTACTCCTCCCCACCCCCACCTTGTTTCCTAGGAAACGTGTGGACTCTGCGTTCCATCCCGTCGCTGTCCCGTGACGTCATGGCCCGGATTGGAGGGTGGAGCGAACGCTATAGCCAGGGGCGGGGCGGCGCAGGCCCGCCGGCCGGGCTGTGCACCTGCGCCTCGGCGGGCCGCCTGGGGCGCGGTCCCCCCGCCCGCCCGGCCCCGCCATGGCCAGGCCACAGAGGACCCCAGCGCGCAGTCCTGACAGCATCGTCGAGGTGAAGAGCAAAGTAAGGGCCCCTATGCTCCGGCTCCGGCCTCGGCCCTAGACGCTTCCAATTCCTTCATACTCCCTTCCCGGCTCCTTGGTCCCTACCACCTTTCTCTTCACCTGCCCTATTTACCGGCTTCTGTGCTCATCTTCCCTCATTCATCTTTCCTTCTTCCACGACCCTTCCTCCAAAGTCCCTCTGTGGCCTGGGTTCGTGGAGGGCGGGGATAAGACCTTGGACAGCGTTCGTGTACTGGTGGTGAGGTCTGGGCTTAGGGCTGCAGCTGTTGACACTGTCTTATTTTTCCCACCCCCCTGGGACCTGGAGTGAGAAAACGGCTCAGGCTCACGTCTGGCCCTTCTTCTTCCCCCACTCCTGCCCTCCAGTTTGATGCCGAGTTCCGACGCTTTGCGCTGCCCCGAGCTTCCGTGAGCGGCTTCCAGGAGTTCTCCCAGTTGCTCCGTGCGGTACACCAGATCCCGGGTCTGGACGTGTTGCTCGGCTATACGGATGCTCATGGCGATCTGCTGCCCCTCACTAATGATGACAGCCTGCACCGGGCCCTGGCCAGCGGGCCCCCACCACTGCGTCTGCTGGTGCAGAAGCGGGGTGAGGGGAATTGGTGACCGGGTGGGGGTTGGTAAGGGGACAGCCAGTGGGGAAGGGCATGGGAAAGGTCTTCTCCTGACTAAGAGGTTACCCTATGCCCAGGGCACGGAGGCTTCCTCACCCTCTGCAGTCTCTGCCCTTGGCCTGACCTCCAAGTGGTAGGCAATAGTTACAGTACCCACTTCTCCAGGTCTGGGCCTGGTGGAAAAGGGCCTTGGGGGCTCTGATGGGTAACAGTAGAAGTCAAGGTCTCTGATCTGTGTCCCATTTCCTATAGCAGAAGCTGACTCCAGTGGCCTGGCCTTTGCCTCTAACTCCCTGCAGCGACGAAAGAAAGGGCTCTTGCTGCGGCCAGTGGCTCCCCTCCGCACCCGGCCACCCCTGCTCATCAGTCTGCCCCAAGATTTTCGTCAGGTTTCCTCTGTCATCGACGTGGACCTACTGCCTGAAACTCACCGTAGGGTGCGGCTGCACAAGCATGGTTCGGATCGCCCTCTAGGCTTCTACATCCGAGACGGCATGAGTGTACGCGTGGCTCCCCAGGGCCTGGAGCGGGTTCCAGGCATCTTTATCTCACGCCTGGTACGTGGGGGTCTAGCTGAACGTACAGGGCTGCTGGCAGTCAGTGATGAGATCCTCGAGGTCAATGGCATTGAAGTGGCTGGGAAGACCTTGGATCAGGTGACGGACATGATGGTCGCCAACAGCCACAACCTCATCGTCACTGTCAAGCCCGCCAATCAGCGCAATAATGTGGTGCGGGGGGCATCGGGGCGTCTGCCAAGGCCTCCCTCTATCCGGCCTCGGCCTCTTGAGCCTGACAGCGATGATGACAACAGTGACCTGATCATGGAAAACCGTCAGCTTCCCTCTTCTAATGGGTTGTCCCAGGGACCCCCATACTGGAACATGAACCCTGGTCATTTACCTCCCGGTGCCTGCAGCTCTCTGCCCTCCCTGGATGATCAGGAGCAGGCCAGCTCTGGCTGGGGGAGTAGCATTCGAGGAGATGGTAGTGGCTTCAGCCTCTGACAAGCAGGGTCGTAGCCCCTTGCCATTCCATGCTGTTGGGGGCGGGCAGAAATTTCCTTGGTGGGGATTTTTCAGCTTGCTTACAGGGCTCTCTCAGCTTGGGAAACATTAAAGGTTTTCTACAAATGCAGTTCTGGTCCCTCTGTGTCCTGGGCCCATCCTTCTCCCTCACCCCACAGCTTGCCTTCCTGACCTAGAAATGAAATAGAAGGTGAAGGGAGGAGGGTTGATATTTGGTGTGATATTTCTAGGGCTAGCAAAAGCTCTTAAGAAAGCAGACGCAGCTGTGTACAAAACGTTTAATTTTGACAAAGGGTAAAGCAGCTGGGCTGGCCCTTTCGCAGCCAGCGGAGCCTGGGAGGAGTGCTCTATTGGGTACTACCTGCCCTACTGCTCCTGCCTTCAGATCGCCACTCTATGGCCAGCTGCCCCAGCCCTTTGCATCCAGGTAGTGGTCCTCACATGGGCCTCTGTTACTACTCCCCAAAGGTAATCAGGCATCCATTTTCACAAAGACCTTGGGGCGGGAAAAGATCTTGATGGCCTCCTCTACTTGCACCAGCTTCCGGTCCAGCTCAGCACGGTGGCCCTGGGCCCTCAGCGAGTCAGCCCCGGCAGGCAGCAGCACTAGCTCGCGTAGCAGCTGGCTCTGGCCTATAGGGGGTTCCCAGAAACAGTGAGGACTGGGCAGGGGTGCATGGTTCCCCAGTGGGTCCTCATCCAGCCTTTCTTGCCTGAATACTTACTCTGAAGCAGAGAGCTCAGTGTCTCCAGCCGCTGGTTCTCAGGCATACGAGTATGGCCAGGGGGTATGGCGGGGTCTGACTGGCTATGCTGGTGGGCTTCTGCCTCCTGCCGCCACAGATCCCTGCGCTCTAACAAGCTGTGAATGCACAGACTCAGGGTTGACTCCAGGGCTAAAGATGACTCCTGCCCCCCTCTACCCATAGGTGCCCCTCACCCTGGGTATTAGGCTTTGGGACCTACTAATGGGGCACGTGGCCTTTCTGTGTGGCATTGTAGTGCTCCTGGGCTTGCCGCTGATGCTCCAGCACCTGTGCCAAGACCTGCAGTGAGCGGGAATGCCTCCGGGGGGCCCTCTTGGCAGTGCGGGCGTTGTGGCTAATGAAGTCCACACCCAGGCCTGGACCCTACAAGGCATGTACATCAACACAGATAGTATTGTGTTGGGTCTGAGGCCTTCCGGAATCCCCCTGAATCTTCCAGTTCCCATGCAGCTTCTTACCTTATCATTGGAATCTGGTGGGGTTAGCTGGGGACTAGAGGCACGGGGTGGTGGGAGGCCAGGGCCACAGCGAGAGTGCGCCCTCAGGAAGTGGGCTGGCTCTGTCCCAGAAGTAGGGCTAGCCTCCTGGAGAGTAAGGTATAGCAGAAAGATTGGTCAGGCTGAAGTCAGAATCTCCAGCCTTAAGACCTTGCCTCTGTTCCTCCTGCCTCTCAGGATTTCTCCTATCCCCATCTCTGTGGGACTTATTCCTCTTGAAGAACTACTTTTCATCAGCATTTAAACATGTGTGTCTCACATCTTTAAGAAAACAATACACTGCTCCTCCTACCTCAGTCCTGGTCTGAGCTATGACCCTCTTTTCCTTTCCTAGACAAACTTACTGGTTCTGGCCCCTTAAGGTTACTGACAGCTGGCTTCCAAGCCCTCAAATCTAGAACTCATTTCTCTGGTCCCATGGTCCTCAGTTGATCCTCAGTAACTTGAGTCTCATTCCTGAGATCCAGACCCAAACAGCCACATTCATCTCCACACTGCTCCTCCTCCTGAGAACCCTGGATAAGGGAATGGTATGCTACTATCTACTAAGACAGATCCCACACCCCCACCCTGCCCTTCTGATGGTTATAAAAAATAAGGGGTGAAAATGGCTTTCTGATGGGGGCCCAGCTGACTTCTCAGCCTCATCTATGCTCTTGTTCTCTGGATTCCCACTGCTCAGACTCCCTCTGGTCTGTGAGGTTCCATATTTAGAACACATTCTCATCTACTCTCCCTTTGCCTAATCTTAACTTGTCTATTAAGGTCAGTCCAGCCATCACCACTTGTGAGAAGGCCTCCAATCCCAGCCTGCAGCAGGTCCATGTTTCTCTTAGTCCTCTGTTAGCAAAGTTCCCTTGTGATTTTTCATCCTTTTCCATAAGCCACATCAGGGGGTCATTTGCTTGTTGATCAACAAGATGAGCAATACTTCTCCCCAAGGTAGATACCTGCAGCTGGGCCTTGACCCGGGACTCCACCTTGTCATATTTAGGTGAATGCCACAGAGCCTTCAGGGGCCTGGACTGGCCCTGCTCCCGGCTGCGCTCCTGCTCCCGGAAGCGCCTCTGTATTTCCTTGATACGTCTCAGGTTCTCCTTCTCATGATCTTTAGGGTCCTTCCCTGAGGAAGAGATGCTGCTAGGCCCTGTCCTGTGTAGTACCCATTCAATTCTACTCCCACCAGTTCACACACAGGCCCACACCCTGCCTCCTACAGAAGGAGCTCCCTGCCCTTTCCCTGTAAGTTAGATCCTTCTCATACATACATTCCACCACATCACCTTGTTTCCTCCCTTACATAGTAATCATCTTCTATGCCTGATTATACTTTACATTTTTATTGCAAAGTATACCATTAATCATCTTGTATATTAATCTCTTCACTTGCTTGTTGTCTTCCACTTTGACTCATGAGGAACAGTGCTTTCTTTAACCCTGTGCTCCTACTACGTGAGGCCTGCCACACAGGGATGCACTCAGTAAACAATGTTACTTGGCTACATGAATGCGAGAAGCTGAGATTTCCCAAGACTACCTCGTTTTAGTTCTTTTCCTGCGAGAAAGAAGCTTGTTTTTCCTTCTTTTATAGTTGGAGAAACTGCCTCAAAAAGGAAAAAGCCTGGATAAGGGTTAGGGAAGGAGGAGCCCTCGGCTTTTGGGCTTTTGATCTCCGCGTCTGACCTCAGACTCCTCTTGACGCTCCTTCTTCCCGGAACTTACTCTTGGGAGAGGCCCTTGGGGTTAGGGAGATACCCCCAAGTTGCAGCAGCATGGCTCCCATGCCGCGCCGACCACGTTCCAGGATCTCTCTGGCTTCGGGACTGATGCGAGGGCCGCGGGGAGGAATGGCGTCCAGGACCGGGTCCGAGGTTAGGAAGTCTAGCTTTCGCGCGTTTCCCTCTAGGCGCCCTAGGGCTAAGGAGCGGGTCTGAGTGCGATAGGAAGCCAGGAGCGATTCCCCCAGGCCCCGCCCCGGGCTTCCCACGCTCGCCCCCACTCACCCGAGGCCGGACGCCGGTAGTAGTCTGGGCAGAGCGTAGGGTCCGGCGGGATGGGCCCAGAAATGCGGGATGGGCCTTCGCACATGACGCCAACCTGCAAAGGTGCACAGAGGCATGCCAGGCTGAGCAGTCCCGGACTCGGACACTCTTCCCCACTTCCCCCACGATCCGGTCCCTGATTCTGGTCGTGCCTTTCATTCCCGACCTCCTCCCAGTACCCCGGCCCGCGCCCGTTGTCTCCACAGCCTCTGATTGGAGTCCACGCCTCTACCCCATTCGCAGCCCCTCCCCCAAAACACCCAGTCAGGGGTCTCACTGGATCCGTTCCGCCACCCGTTGCAGCGACCTGACGGGAGTTGCTGTTGCTAGGCAACAGAGGCTTCCGTCCCTGAGGTTATTAAGAGTCAGGGCCTCAGGTGCAAAGCCTTCTGGGACTTGTAGTTCCAGCTGACGTGGGACGGGACTGTAGAGAAGGGTCTCTAGTCACCCTTCCCAGTTTTTCTCTTGCCTTCGGGCGTGTGAGGTTCAGCAAGTATCTTGGGATCCACTCCCGAACCGCCGTGGAGGATGCGCTGACCCGTTGCTGCCATGGCCTCAGCAAAGGCAGCAAGGGGGCCCGAGGCCCAGAAGGGGACTGCTGTGGGACCAGTACGCCTTGTGGAGGCCTCTGAGGTGACCATGGAGACCTCTGACTTTCAAACACTTGGCTACAACACTCAACGGAGGTCGAACTCTGGGCGACCCTGATCCTCTAACTGCCAGGGCAGATTCCGAGGGTGGGAAGGATCATGGGCTGGTACCCCTTATTGGTGTGTCTCTAATGTTGGGTTCTAACGTCTGATCTCTGTATCCTTTGGCCATGGTGACCAATAACCTTTGTGTCACCTCTAGTGTCCAGTGACCCAAGACCAGTGTCTGGCGTCAGCCCACGAAGCCTGCCAGACCCAGGGTGAAGCTGAGTGTCCAACAGGCCCAACCTCAGAGCCAGAGCTCCAGGAGGAGAGGTTAAAGACAGAGGCGAAGGCTCCCGATGAGCGAAGCCACAGGTCCCTAGCTTCCATTGTGAGACCCAGTCATGGTCTGAAGAGGAAGCTGACCAAGTGAGGGTGCTTTCAGAGAGGAGGAGCTTCAGGGTTGGGGAGTAGGGCTCACCCCACTAGAGGTTTCCTAAAGCCTGCATTTCTGCAGGCAAGTCCTTTGTCCCCTATCACCACCATTACCTCCCACCTCGTCTGTTTCTCAAGAGCCCTGGTTAGCAGCACCAAGAGAGAGGGAGCTTGAAGGTCTTTGAGGGGACAGAGAACACTGGCCAGGAAGGGGGCAGTATCTGGCCTGGATGATGAGCAAGCTGGGCCATTCCCTAGTCTCTGAGCATAGACTAGCTCCTCAGGCTTCCTGTCCATGGCTTTCGTTTGCGGGCCCCCCCCCCATCCTAGGGCTGAAGCTGAGCTGCCGCTGCACAAGGAGACGCCAGAGGGGAGCCAGAGCGAGCCATCTGCCAAGCAGCACAAAAAAGCCAAGAAGCGCAAGAGTCTGGGGGCCCCGGCACTCCCTGATGCAGTCAGCACAGGGTCTGCCCCTTCAGAGATCTTGGGGCTGCAGCGTGAGTGGCAACCCTGGACTCTCCTTTCCTCCCTTGCCCACCAGTCCCCCTAATATGGCACAGCCTGGTGCTCCAACCCTGCCTTCTCCTGGGTCCTTGTAGGAAAGGCCCAGCGCCTTCGAGCCCTGTACCAGTACATCAACTATTGCAACCCTGAGCTGAACCAGGCAGGGGAAGGGCACAGAGAGGCTGACACTGAGCCGGAATCGGAACTGGTCCTGGTCTCTGAGGAGGTGGGTGTGGAACAGCTGCAGGCCTTACTGCCCGTGGCAGGTGAGGTGGGCTCAGGCTTCTCTGTGCCCTGCCACAAAACGTTAGTGCCCCCCACCCACATTCTGGCCCCCCTGGCAGAGGAGGCTGCAGAGGATCCTCGGGGTCTTCCCAGCTTGGGTGTCAGTGGCCAAATCAAGGCTGAGGTAGATAAGTCAACCCAGGTGGACATTGACAAGATGCTGAGTGTCTGTGCTGCCCCTCTTGTGCCCCCACTCTCTCCTCAGTATAAGTGACTGTCCTGTCCCTCTGGTGGCTCCCCTCCCCACTAAGCCTAGGCCTTCAGGTGGAGGGGCTTATTTGGTTCATGTCCTCACTTGCTGGGATCTTGGGCTTGCTGACAATAAACATGATCCCACTTTCACAGACTGTGAGATTCCCCAATGCATAGTTTAAAGCTTGACTGGTCATCTGGATCATTTGGGAACCTGACAAAAATACAGATTCCAGGCCACTACCCCAGACGTCACTGAATTAGAACCTGAGGGTTGGACCTGGTTTCTGTGTAAGGACTCCCAGATGCACCTGAGGATCAGAGGGCTGGTGACTAAGAGAAAAACTTGGGGCCGAGAGGGTCTGTTTTGGTCTGACCTGTATCTGGGGACCAGCACTTAGCATTCTACCCCCTCTGAGGTGTCAGAGTTCATTCGACTGTTCCAAGAGTAGCTCACTTGGGAACACTTTCGACTTGCTACCAGACAACAATAGGACCAGACCTTGCCCAAGGGTAGCCCTGTGCCTTTTTCCTGCCAGGAAGTGGTGTAGACAAGGAGGAATCTTGGCTTGACATTCTGGAGAGATTACTTGGGTTTCAGTGTGAAAGGCAGAATGGGAAAGAGGAGATTGGGGCCAGGGAGGTGAGAAAGCTGCCGCTGTCTAAGTAGGTACAAGGCCTAGATTTGGTTCAGAGTTAGATTTGGTAGTAAGCAACAGGTATTTTGGAAGTTCTCACCTATTGATTGAGAAGATTCCAAGAGTTTCACCCACCGGGGAAAACCTTGTTTACTTTGACCAAAGGAAGAATTAATTGGCTTGACATAAGATTCTGGGAGGTAGAGATGCTGCCTTCCTCCAGTAGGGGGCGCTGCAGGACAAGCCTGGAAGCACAGTTTCTGGCTCAAGTCACCCTGCAGGCTTCTTTGGCCACATGCATGCATGTGAATTCTGTCCAGGCCCATCTCCTTGTCATGGACCTAGGTTCTGGAGGTATTGCCAAAAGACCCAGCGTACTCATAAAAGTGGTCCTGTACCAAAGCTGCTGCAGTTTCCTCCAGGACATCTAGCAACTGCCTTTGTGAACAAAGATTCCTCTAAAACCTAAGTGCTGGGTTGACAATATGGCCCTTTCTTGCGTAAGAGCATCTGGGTCAGGTCCACTGGGTGTCTGTGTTTCCTGGGTCAATCCCCAAATTTAAGAAGGACCTAGTAGAACACTAGGGACTGATCTGGAGCTCTGACCATCATCCCCAGGGGCAAGGGTGTGGCCATTACATCATCTTTAACTCTTGCCCCTGCTAGCATCTTTCAGTCTATCCCTCAGGCCAGACTGGCTCCCGCAGCAAGACGGAAACAACCATCTGGATGGGGCTCCCAGTGGTGGTGGTGAAGACAAGGCACTGCCAGTCAAGTCACAGTGGAGTCACAGTGCTGGAAAACGGGTAGTCCAAGGTCAGGCTTTGTAGTCAGGTGGTCCTGACTGGGTGCTGGCTTCAACACTTAAAGCTTATAAGACGGCAAGTAATTTTTTATCCCTCTAGGCCTCTGAACTGAACAATGGGTGCATTAATAGTACTACTTCATAGACTTGCTTAGAGATTCAAATAAAGTATATGCAGTGTTTACTACCCTAGGTGGGGCAGCATGTAGTAGACACAGTCCAATACTGCCCACTGTTATTTTATCTCAAAAGGATAAAATTTGCAACCAGGACAACACGGCAAAAACTAGCCTGGTGACTTCTATAAGGAATGCCAAGAGAAAAAGGAGGTTTTCCTTTCCTAAGCCTTTCTGGCAAGGAGCCCGGGACAAAGCAAAAAGAGAAGGGTAGAGAAGTTTGGTCCAGCCTCCGCAATCCTGACAGGAGAGCAAAGTAAGACAAGAAAACAAAAGGGACAACACTCCCCTGACCTGCAACTTACATGGTAAAGACTACTGCCTTGTGGATGGCTGGTGACCAGCTGGATGGGTCAGTCAGCTTTCAGCTAAACCCACTCCCAGGGGGCACACGAAGCTCTTCCTCAAGGCCATTCCCTTCAGTTGCTCTGGAAGCTCTCCTCACTTCCTCTCTCTTGATGCCAACTCCAGAATTTTAAGACCACAACTCCCTCCTGATTTCCTCTCCCAATAGGCTCCAAACTGTTCCCCTGAAATGGAAGATCCCACAAAGCCCCTTCAGAGAGAATTGAGTCCTATCCTCTGAGGAGACTTTTGTTTCAAGGGATCCATGGACTTTGGTCATGAAGGACTAAATACAGTGATGAGTGCGGGGCAGTGACCAGAGCCATGCATAGGGCAGTAGTGGGTCCAGGCCAGACTCAGAGATGCTGAGGAGTCATGAGGAGAAGAATTACAACCATCTACAACAATAAACAAGCCTTTCATTATTAAAGACAAACACAAATCCCAACCTACCACACAAACACCACATGCCATGATGTCAGATTCTCTTTCTTTATTAACATTTATCAGATGCTCTAAATCTCTCCCTTGTTTTCCTCTCTGCCAATTCAGGGCTCCTTAAATAGCCCCTGAGAGCTCACCTAATTAAGAAACCCCCTCCTCCCTACTAGAAGAGGAGCATCCAGGAGGCCTCAAGGGCCTGGTAGCATGGGGAAATCCCCAAGGGATGATGCACTGCCCTCACCATTCCTGAGATGCCCCAGCCCAGGAAGGGCATGGAAACAAGATTTCTTGTCCTTGTTCCTTAGTCTGAGGAATCAGCCAAGCTGGCTCCTTGTGCTTTTCTTACTCTCTGAGGGCCACAAACCTGGATGAAGCAGCTCACAGGTCAAACTTTGGTGGCCCTCCTTCACCATGTAACCATTCAGACACCTGGCAGCACGTAGCGCCACCTACACATATTGTACTGGTCCAAGGTGACAGAACATATTCCACCCTGCCAGTCTGAAGAGTACGTGAGGGGAGGGAAGGGTGTTTGCCTAGGATTACCTTAGGCTTCACCCAGACCAAGCATAAGTGGACTTGTTGAAGTAAAGCCACATTTCTGCTGTGGCCACACCATTCTGCCATGGCTTCTGGTTCCCTCCCTTGTCCCTATGCCCAGTGGCAGGGAGGCCATGGACAGCCTCACAGGTTATTCCGCTGGAGCACCTCGCACAGGTTCTGGTTGGCGTCGGGCTCCTCTGTCAGCACCTCCACTGCCTCCCACTCCCCAGATCGGTTCGATCGTTTGATGGCGTCCACCACACTCTGCATGTACAGCCCGTCCTCAAATGAGGCTGCCATGGCGACAGGGGCGTGGTCCCAGGTGCGGCGGTCATCCTGCCCCTGAAAGGACTGGCGCAGGGCCTGCACCATGCACACCATGCCCTTCAGGTAGAGCAGTGGGACGTCCTGGGGCCCCTGCTCGGGCAGTCCTGCGCCCACGACCAGCGAGTCCCTTAGCAGCAGCTCCTCCTGTGTGGCCGAGTTCTTCTGTCCGTACAGGTCAGCCCCCCGAGCAACGAGGCGTCCTGCAGAGCCCACCACCATGACCTCATGCACAAAGGCACCTGGCATGTTGAAGTTAAGCGTCACTGTGCTGCACACCCCCCCACCCATGAGCATCTGGAAGAAGCAAAAGTCATCACTGGTGACATGCCGAATGCCACGGATGGCTGAGTTCTGCCTCACAAAGGTCTTGAGCAGCCCGTGCACCTTCTCAGCTCTCCGGCCAGTTAGGTGGGTCAGTAGGTCCACGATGTAGGTGCCCATGGTGTGCAGACCCCCACCACCCATGAGCTCATCACAGATCCAGCCGTAGCTGGGGCTGAGCAGGCTGCCAGAGTAGATGCGGGCATCACAGATCATCACTGCGCCCACATAGTGCTCAGCAATCAGCTGCTTCATGCGCACAAAGGCAGGCAGGAAACGCAGCACGTTCCCCACCAGGCTCATCAGCTGTGGGTAATAGCGTGAGGCTGTTACCATCCGGAAGGCATCCACTGAGGTTGCTGCCTTCTCACACACCACATTCTTCCCAATACCTAAGAATAAGACACAACAGGAAATGTCAAAATTCCAAGGGAGTTACACTGGGAAAAAACTGAACCAAACCAAACCAAAATTCATTGCTCCAAGGCAGAAAGAACAGAGGCCTCCAATAGGACCAGAAGGCAGCCCTGGAAAGGAAGTAAGCTGGCTCAGCTTGAACTGAAAACAGTGGCCATGACTGGGACTTAAGAAAGAGGAGTTATGTTTTTAAAGGAAAATAAAACTTGCAGAGGTATAAAATGCCAACCACGAGCGGGAGATGAAGAGAGATTGAATGGAGAGGTGGGCAGCCTTCTTGGACATATCTCCACACTTTTATTAGCTGTTTAAAGAACTAGCTTGGGGCAAAAGAATCTAATCTTTATTCTAAGGTGGTAGGCTCTGTACTGCCAGTTATAGCAGCAGAAAGGGCTCTGAGGTTCCTTCTATGGTTTTCTTTGAAAACAGTGCTCCAACAAGTGAATGTAATCAAAATGCCAAAACATGCTTAGCTCCAATAGGAGGGATAAGAGGGTGAAAACATACTTTCTGCCTTCACACGGAAAATGCAATGCCCTTAAAGAGAGCAAAACAAAACCCTGAAGAAATAGAGCGAGAGGGCTGTGAACCTTCCATGTGAGGAAACGTTGTTAAGTGCCATCAAGTCAGTTCTGACTCAGCAACCCTGTGTAGAGTTTCTGAGACTATAAATCTTTGCAGGAGCAGAATGCCTCAATGTTCTTTGGAAGAGATGCTGGTGGGCTTGAACAGCTGACCTTATGATTTGTAGTCCAGTGCTTATCCTACAGAGTCACTGTGCTCCCCTATGAGGAAATATAATGATGGATAGACCCCAGGATGGCTGACTGACCAGGAAGAGTTAGTCTCTGGTACAAAATGTGGGCTTTTGAGTCCGACATTTCTGTGTTCCAATCCTGGTTCTCTCATTTCAATGCTGAGTGACCTGGGCAAGTCCTTATCTATTCCGGACTTTGTTGCTGTTGATTAGTGCCGTGGAGATGGTTCCAACTCACGGCAACCCTGT